CGGCGGAGTCCGTGTCCTCTCGGGCGCTGGTTGCGAGACATGAACACGGACTCCGCTTCTAGGGCCCGAGATATGGGGAGATGCGGGGAGATATGGGGAGATGCGGGGAGATATGGGGAGATGCGGGGAGATATGGGGAGATGCGGGGAGATATGGGGAGATCTGTCAGCTTCTAGGGTCCCTCTCCCGAGCGAGAGCGGCGTCACATCGAGCAGCAGGATGTCCTTGACGTCGCCGCGCAGCACGCCGCCTTGGATGGCGGCGCCGAGCGCCACGACCTGGCGTGGGGAGATATGGGGAGATACGGGGAGATATGGGGAGATACGGGGAGAGATGGACCGTCGGGGTTCACGCCCTTGAAGGTGTGGGGAGATATGGGGAGATACGGGGAGAGATGGACACCTCGTCGGGGTTCACGCCCTTGAAGGTGTGGGGAGATATGGGGAGATACGGGGAGAGATGGACACCTCGTCGGGGTTCACGCCCTTGAAGGGCTCTTTGCCGAAGAAGCCCGTCACAACCTCCTGCACCTAAATACGCGAGCGACAGGCAGCAGTGAGATGGGCTGGGCGGGGGGAGGATTGGAGTGCCGTCCTTCCGGGCTGTCAGTCACTCAATCGCCGGACTGCTCTTCTGGCGGCGCACCTTAGGCATCCGAGTCATCCCGCCCACCAGAATCACCTCGTTGACCTCGCTCGTCGAGACGCCCGCATCCTTGAGGCACGCCTATCTCCCCACACACCTCCCCGTCCCTCCCCGCCTCTCCCCGCCTCTCCGCCGCCCGCGTCCTTGAGGCACGCCTTGCACGGCGGCACCGTCCGCTCGATCAGGCCTGCAGGCGGAGATGTGGGGAGATGTGGGGAGATGTGGGGAGATATGGTCTGCAGGCGGAGATGTGGGGAGAGATGGGGAGAGGTGGGGAGAGATGGGCTGCAGGCACCCCCAGTGGCGAGGGCGGGTCGGGGGAGCGACAGAAGAGGGGGAGCAAGCTGCACTCGAGAGCAGGGTGCGGGGCGGGCAGGTCATATCTCCCCACATCGCCCCATATCTCGAGAGCAGGGCGCAGGGAGATGTGGGGAGATATGGGGAGATGTGGGGAGATACAGGGTGGTGCGGGGCGAGCAGCCGCCGCAGGGAGTGCGCGCGAGGGAGGAGCGAGTGTGCAGTCCAGAATGGTTTCTCCTCCTCTCGCCCCCTCCCCCCACCCCTCCCAACCCCCCCCCCACCCACCCACTCACCCGCCCCCCCACCCCAGGGCCCCAGGGTAGTGCGGGCCGGCGACTAAAGGGCCGTCGGC